TCAATATTGCACTAAAGCTGGGACGCTGTTATTGAGCCTTGTGAAACTGAATTGGGGCGAAGCCATAGCCTCACAAGCGGAGATCAGTGGGCTCGCTCTTACTCTTAGGGAGCAAGAAAAAACCGGACCTTGATATAGCGTGTCAAAATAAACGTAGCAAAGAGCCCCCTAAGCTCAGGATAGATTTCCCTAAGCATTTTTATCGCTCAGAGTCAAGGTCCTGAGTTTTCTTTCCTCCCCTTGGCTCACAACTAAGACTTAGCCCGTCGTTGCCGCCCCCTAGTAGTGATACACGTCATAATAGCTTTAGAAGTCCTGTAGACAGTGATTGATTGATTGACTGACTGCACGCGACAGTTGCATTGTTATTTAGTTCTCTATTTATTTCATTGAATTTATTCCTAGCCAGTCTATCATCGGTTATCGATCATCATTGCATCCAGAAAACTATGGCTCTGCCTCCGCCCAACTATTCCGACTTGGAACTGCCCTCCTACGACACCACTGCTGCTCCCAACTACACAACCCCCACCACTATAACCCGCCCTAAAGATTCAACCCTCGGCCCTGCAACGCTCTTCATCGCAGGACGCTTCATCTACTCAACCGAACCCCAAGACCCCCCGCTCTACGAATTCTCCCACGACACCAGCTACCTCCACGATAACGATCGCAATGTCAAAGTCGAGCGCGTAGACCCCGTTACAAAGACATCGGCCGGTCTTCCCCAGGTCGTGCTGAAAAACCGTCACCTCTTCGATCTCAAGCATCCCACTGCTGCCGAGTTCCCGTCTTTTCCGTACCATGCCGAAGCTACCTCACAACGAGCGCTAACAAGCTTTGGAGTGTCATGTTTCCGCTCCGGTAATATTCTGCGGCAGCTCAAGGGCTTTCGGTTCGAGCGGATGGTGAGAGGGCCAGGCCGCAAGTTTCGAGCCGATGGTGTCCTGTACGAAGCTTGCGAATCGCGGAGTAAAGGCGTCGCATATGAGTGGAGAGACTGCTACGGCGACATAATAGCGAGAGAAATCCAGGATGAACAAGGCCGTATAAGTCTATTCGTTACTGCAGAGATGACCCAGGAACTTCGCGATGCCCTCGTCGCGGCGTGGGTGATCAGGATATGGTCTGAGCTGTCGAATGGAAACAAGTCGGCGACTCGTCTCATGATGGTGGGCTCTCGTCCATGAAATACGTCAAGTGTACAGTTCTCGCTGATGGCAGTCACAGACAAGTGCGGCACGCGGACAGAGGATGTTGGGAGTATGATCGTGAGTATGGCCTACACTAGGATATTGGGATCTAACGGTGCAATTAGACGTTTGATGATACCATGAGCTGACCGTATTATGGATCCAAGTTATCAGCGTTGTTACTTTTTCTTCTGTGCTTTTATTCGAAAGTGAGGCTGGCCCATTTCGATCACATCTCGTCAAGACATGCTCCCTTCCCGCTTTACAGAGCAGGACGGAATTTGCTACGAATCTATCTAGTGAAGCAGTATCCATTATAGGATCTTGTTTACATAGCTAATAAATATCCCACAAGCTAATCTTGCCGTCTTTCGCCCCTGCTGCAATCCAATGTGTTTTTCTCGCTGTAGCTATTCGTTGCTCTTTGACGCTCAGCCCTGTTCGGGTCAAAGAGCCCGCCCGCGTGCTTGAACTCCCCGTGGGTTGACCATCGTCAGACGTAGGGTTTTCTTCCTCCGTCTGATCCGATATCCTAACATCAGCGAATGCAACGGCGTAGCATCCAACTTGATGCCACTTCAAAACAGCGAGTTCTTTCATGGTTTTTGTAGAGTATACTCGCACTTTTGAATCCCACCCTGCAGTAGCAAAGATTCTTCCATCGGATCGTATGTCTAGACTCTGTTGTCCGGAATGTTTGGTGTTGATAGCTTTGAGCGGATCTTTCCACGCAATGCCCTTACGAGGAGGCTTCAGCCCCTGTGACGACGAAGACTTCAGGCCAGTAGATAGAAGTGACTTCGCCTTAGGTTCTTCGTCTACTATCTCCACTACACGCTCGGTACTTTCAGGAGGTACAGTGTCTTCCAGAGGAAAGAACAAATCGGTAGGAATGGGATGTTTGGCGATGATAGAGTCGGCGCTGGACGTGATGAAGTAGTCGCTATAGACGCTCAACGACAGGACGGGTTGTGAATGCGCCTGGGAATGGTACGTTGCGACCCATTGGCCATCAGACTCAAGACGGTGCACAGTTGCGTAACCATTTTCAAAGGCAGCAATGAGCGTGAGAGCGTCTCTGTGATGCAGGAGAGCAAGGCACATGGCCATGCCCGTTTTATCACCAGCCTTGATGGTATGAATCCGTCTTTGCAACGGCAACTGGTAGATGTCGATCTATGAATATCAGCCCTGGTCACGATATGGTTGAGGTTCTCCATACAGCATCTGAGTGCAAAGTATTAGGCACCGCAATCAGCACCTCAGAAGCGGTATCGACAGAGCCAGGCGCCCTTGAGCAAATGGCGAAAGCGCAAAAGTTCAGGGTATTGACTTCAAGGAGATGTAACATCCATGGTTGCGGTCTTGGTGATGCAACTTCTTCCACCGGCAATGCTGTGCTGAGATGCTCCTCTTCCGCCTCGCCAAGTTTCCACACTATGAGCTTCAAATCACGACCATGCCTGCAAACTGTTGTCAGCAAAGGCATTCTCCAGTCATTACTGATTTTCGACAGAGCAATTACGTGATGATTTTGTCGTCACCCCAGCCGCCAACACCTAATAGAGCCTTTTCGTGGGCACGCCAAACAGCACGTGGGCGCATAATCGTGAGGTCCCATAGCACCACAAAGCCATCCGCATCGCCTGTAATGAGGCGCTCATTGGATCTAATGAATGTTGCTGTGTGAATTTGAGATTTGTGCCCGCGCAATATAGATTTTGGTGTCGGTGTTGAAGGATCCATGTTTCTGATGAGTATGTGTAGTCATGGTGAGAAGCTGAAGGCTGATTGAGTTGGGTTATTTTTCTAGAAGTCGCTGTGGGACAATCATCGCATGAAGCCCATGTCTATGGACATTAGGTCTAGTACCTAGCCTGTCGTTCATGTTCAGACTGATGGATAATCCATTCAAACGCACTTCGGAGACTATATCGGCCATACCAAGAGTTTGATTCTGTTCTGAGTGGTTTCAGACGAGATCTAGAGTCAAATTCATTGTTGAACCATTGCCAATATCCATACATGGATCATGGCTGATCGGTACGGACAAACGGATCAGCGATTGGATTTTTAAACACTTGGGCAACATGGTAGTCTACTAACGTTAGGTTTCTACAATCTAGATACATAACTTATGCATGAACAATTTATATAGGTTTCTAAAAAAAAAAAAAAAATATTTTCTCTATTTTATTTTAGAAACGTCTTTTCTGAGGTAGTACTTCTATGTGCTACCAT